TGAACTACTTCTAGGTGAATGGTCCTAGAGTCCTGGAATTTTTTGCAGTAGGTAGCCTATACCTTGAAGGTGTGCAAGACGGCCATCAAATTTCGCTGTCTAAAAGGGCCCCCTCCCCCCACAAATCTCAACGAAAGGAATTGTTTTCTACAAACTACTTCCTTTCTTTCTATCCTCTTATCAAAGTACGGGATGAAGGGGGAGGGGGGGAGAGTAGAACTAGTTTTATCCTTCATGGTACTCTAATGAAAGATCTCAACAAAAGGAATTAATTTCTACCAATCATAGCCCTCCTCCTCGACCTCTTTTCGTGATCGGGTATATTCCCTTATACCTCAAGAACGGATTGTCGGAAGAGGGTACTTACAAAGGGCGATTGAGAAGTCTGCAAGACATACATCCATTGGTGATGTCAAAACAAAAGCTATTTAGGTTAAAAAAAATGCGCTATATCTGCACAAGAGTTGTGCACAATTTATACTTGTTTGTATTTCTCTTTATGAATCATACCCATATTTTGTATCCAGCTACAAGTGAAGAAAAATGGAAATTGATCACCTTTGCTTTTAATATATTCAATCAACTATTACAACTAGCATTAGTTCTTAGGCGGAGATAAGAGGCCAATAACTCCCGCAACATTTTTATTACTGAGCTGGCCGTGGATAAATTAAAAATTAACTCTCACATTAAAACTCTTGCCCGTGCCCAACAAGGTTCAATTTTATTTTATACAAGCCTTCGACTCTTGTTACCGCAGTTATACGTCCATTCTAGCAAATACCAACCATTTTCACCCTAATAAGTAATAAAAAATGTATTCCAAGTTGTGAGTAATTCTCAGTTTGTTTCTTCTTCTTGAAATAGTCAACGCTCTAAGTTGTGTAACAAAAGTTAATAAACAAATATAAAAGGGGTCCTTACAAAATTAATTCGTGATTAAGAACTGTTTTGATAGATTAAAACCATGAAAGGAGATTAATAGGGAGAATAGTTTTTTTGGGCTTTCGGTTTTGAGCCGTCGAAGAGCTCAGGTCGAATTTGGATTGGAACCACGGGAGTGTCACCTAAAGTGGTTCGGGGATGAAATTTTGTCGGGCATTTTGTTTCTTGAGCGTTAAAATTCGCGCGAGTTTTCCGCAATGTGTTAAGTATGTTCTTTCTGATGTTGTTAAACATTTTTCAAACATTCCTACTCCAAAATGGTATACGCCTAAATTGGCGTGCACAAAATTTGGTATTTGGAAAAAAATTTCAACAAAAATCGACTGCTACTCTTGGACCGATAACGAAAAAAATAGTCAGATTTAAGCACTATTCCGAATCGCAAAACGCACGTCAGCAAAATTACTACTGTACTAAAATCGATCTGGGCAGGTGTGACACATTTAGCCACCCACATTCAAAAATACTTAGCGATTTACACAATGGAATAACTTTTTTAAAAAGGTCGCATGCAAAAGCTGTTTCAGTTTGGTTCTTAAATCCAAGTGTATTATGGAATCTAACCATTTTTGTTGCCTGGTCACGAATTGATGTTGGAATTCTTTTCGAATTTTCAAAAAATATTTTGGATTTGTTATTTTCATGTAGCAAAACCGCCAATTCCTAAATTTCCTAGAGATCGGAATATTTTGCGCTCTCGATTAGGAATTTTTTAAAAATATTTGTGAAATTGGAAATAAACCCAAAATCAGGTAAGGCTACTATAGTTCTATATTTCTGTTATAGCTTCTAAGCAAAAAATCAGAAGAATCTTTTGAAGAGTGAGCTTCATGCTTCATAAATGAATCGCAGAACATCAAAAAGCGAGTCAAAAAGTATATAGGTATCCCAATCTGCCGAAACGCATCTATTTCTAGTTTATGCCCTTTCAGAAAAGTCAATCGTTTACCATTCTTTCGGCATCCAGTCTCAAAACAACTCACAACATACAACAAAAAAACATGTAGAAGCATCTTGGTTGGATTCAAGTCATGGTTTTAGGAAGAAATCTCGTGGGAAAAAGGTTGTGGAGCTGAGACAGAACCTCAGGGCTCATTTCAAGTTCAAATTTAAACTTTGCTTTTGAGAAAAAGGGTCGGTTGGGGCATGTATCCCTTCACAACACTTACGTTCGTGTATACGAGAGTAATTGTTTATAAATAAAGAAACTGATGACCAGCACACTTAGAATCGTATTTGAAAATTGTGACGTGTATAGGTAATGCAAACACAACAAGTGGATGGATAGAGAATAGTTACTCATATTGCGTGCTGTAGATCAGTGACCGTCCATTGACACATTTACTTATATAGCTGTAGGTAGACGAATGAGGCGAAGAATAGAAAAATGAAGAATGCTACACCACAAGATCTTGCAATGTTACGTCTAGGGGTAATAAAACTGTTTCTTTTATAAACTTATCGAGCAGTGTCAGGTCTGCACGTGCCTTAGATAATTACAAAGTCTGCCGTAGATCAGTGACCGCCATTGACAATGCACTCTTGAAGGCTTTGGCACTTATCTTTTGCTGCAGTTGCTGTCTAGGTAAAATGAAACTTCACACACTTTCCTATTTAGTCTTTACTTACGTTGCTTTCAATACCTAATCATATTTTTATGCTAAACGGAAAATTGTGAAAGGAACGCCATGAGAATTGTGAAAAATTTTTGATACTTAATGCCTAAAGGATATCGGTGCCCGAAATTTTCTTCTCACCAAAACCCTCGAATGGAATTATTCAATTGTACGTCCTCCTAAAAAAACCCTCGTCTTTAAACAATAGGTACAATGTCATGGCGTGATCGCACAGAATAGGAATTTGAGTTCTTAGGAAGTTGACCCCCCATTTTTAAATGTTGCAAATTGTAATTAGTTCTGATGCCCCCCCCCCCCCCCGCTATAAAGTTCTATAGCTGTTAAGAAGTCTTAAAAAAATGCCAACAATTAAATCAATTTTTAAAATCTTGGGAGCCAACATCACGCCCTCCCCCAATTGCATCAACAGTGAAGTTTTAAGAGTTCTGCGCGAGTAATCAATGCAAAAGCGACCTATTATAGTTTACCAAATATACACTTCACACCAAAATCTTATAATGAATAGGTGCATAACACAGGGTCATTAGAAGTATCTCAGGAACGGTTTGGGATTTCGATTCGGGACCCATTACCTTTTTTGAATAATCGATCAAAAGGAATCATTTCAAAATATTTTCAAGATGTCAGAACGATACCGGAACTTTCTTATTTCAAATGGCACTATTTTTTCTGATGACTTTGTCAATATGATTCTATGTCTAACTGACATGGTTTCGAAGTTATTTGACATTTTTTCACGGTTTCAGAGGTTCAGTAAATTAGCCATATCACTGTTATCGGACTACTTAGCAAAATGCTTTTCTCATGAATTGACAGCTAAAAGTCCACGCTATCAAAATAATGTTATTGGTGTGATTTTTAAATGTGATTAAAAAATAATACCAATAAGCATTCAAAGTTTAACAATCGGTTTTTGGTCAAAAATTCGACATTTTCAAATGGAAACCATATCTTTACTATGCACCAATGAAAAGATAATAGAAAGAGATAAATGGAACCATATCTTTACTATGCACCAATGAAAAAAGAGATAAAAAGGGTAAAAAATGTTTTTGGAAAATTGAAAACAAACATTTCCACTTTCGAAAAATTTTGCAAGTACATTTTTTTGCCCATTTGCTCTTGCCATTAATGCATGTCCACTTAAAAACATCGCCCTGTATAGTGTGATCCTGAACTGTGGCCAGAACTCCAAAATGTTAGCACAAAATGTTCCCAATTATATTTCTTATTTAAAATTTAAATAATAAATTAAAGTAAGGTGGGTTGACTACGTGTTGAAAGGTATGCATTTCAATAATCTGACGATTTAAGCGTGACGTGAGGGAACGGGAAGGTCACAAATTTGCAAAAAAAACGTTACCTCGACATCCTCGAGCGCCTTGGATTTTTTTATTTCGAAAGAAATTATGCTAGAATAACAGAAGTAATATAAAGTAGTTCAGGAAATGAAGGTTTTGTTTTACCCTGGAACAAATCGTCAATCAAGTTTAGTGTGTCTGAGACTGAGTGCCCCTAGTCAACGACATGAGTCATCTAAAAATCGTGTCGGCGTTGAGGGCATTAGGCGAAGTGTCTCGGCCCCATCTTGAGGTACTACCCGGAACTCGAATCGAACTTAAAAATTCTAACCAGAAACAGTGCTGAATATTTCTTTATCACTAGCAATTCGAAAAAACCTCTTATTTTGAGCCCAGTTTCCAACTCATGTTGGTAGCCGCTATTATGGCCACTTTCTCCGTCCGTCCGTCCGAGGCCTTCATGATTCCTACAGTTTTGAAGAGATGTAGTTTGGTCTGTTTGCATTCAGTAGTTTATAGCTCTGGCACCTCAACCAAGAAAAATCTTGACATACATACAATACATACAACTTTCTCATTTATACAGATTTTATTTGACATTTTAACCAAAGCTTTTTCTTCTAGTAAATGCAAGAATATCGCATATTTTAAACATCCTTCAGTTTCTTATTTATTAGAAAGAACTAGTTGTGCCGGCTTTAGGGAATCCCGTTTTTTTTCCGTACCCCGATTCTTTTTTCACCGTTCCCGTGGGAACCTTGGGAAGTTTTTTCGGAGTACACCTTGAGGTCTTCGAAGAAGCCTACCATTTTAACTAAAACTGTGCTAAGCCGTAACCGACAATGAAATCGCGACAACAAATCGTGTCATGTAAACAGTACTGACTGATTTATTGCAACAATAAATTGGACAATCACATCGCGTAGCCGAGAACGTAGCGTGTAAACTACCCTTAACAGTTTCCAATGGAAATTCATAGGGGTGGTTTGTTTTTAAGGGCTAAACATTTTCAATTCATCATGTCAATTCTTTATTTTTTGTAAACTTTTTAATTGCTGTATTGATTGAAGTTTGGAATGATTTACATTACAATTTACAATATTAGGCCACCACTTACCTTTGCAAAAAATTGGAATAGAGGGAGTATGATGGTCAAAGTCCGGATCGTCGTCATCAAATAAAATGTCCTCCTCGTACTCCGTATATCCCTCAATATTCGCATTGCTCCGCACTCTAAGCATCTGAAAAATTAAACTGAGCATTAGTTGGGAGTATAAGGCGAATAAAGTTATCAGGTAATTGTATGGTATTGAAATTTGTACAGTTTTCTTAGCATGTCCTCTTCCGTCTAAAGAACTTTCATTTACCATTTACCATCGTGGGCAAAAGTCGCAGTAAGTAATTTCCCTTTTGGAAGCCATATTGAACCGATAGCCAAAAGACCATTAAGTAATTAATTACAGCCAATACGCAATAAGCGACGGTCTACATCAAATAGTAAACGTAAACAGAGGAGGGTAGGGGGAGGCAATGTAACAATAGCCTCCTCTCCGCCCCTTCAATTAATCCAGTAACCAAATGTTTACGGTACTTTCTAAATATTTTTCTCCTGGAGTTGTATCGTTCTCCAGGAGAAAAATATTTAGAAGGCGGTATTTTTCTCTTGGAGTTATATTTTTTATTTTATTTTGCCTTTATTTTTGAGTGGGCGGGGTTTCAGTCAAGGCTGCTCTACCAACCCAACCCACTATACATTTAAAAATATCCATGCCCGAACCCGGATTCGAACCAGGGACCCTTAGTACCACAGCTCAGCTTTAACTGAACTGCGCCGCACGGGCCGCCTCCAGGAGAAAAATATTTAGAAGGTACCGTCAAACATTCTCTCCCCTTACCCTTACATCCATTACTTCTTCTGTTGCTCCAACTTCCATTACCTGCGACTTCTTATGGTTTATTCTCAATCCAGTCGTTACAACAGTTCATTCAATTCCCGACTGAATCCTTGCCTATAACTCTTCCTCCTATTCCAGACCATTCAATCCACCTTCTGCTTCGTGTACAAATTACTGATAAATCTTCTTTCTCTCCAATCCCTTGTTCCTTAAAATTTCTAACATTTTCTCGTATTCACACAATCGAATGCCTTTTCCAGACCTACTAGGCGCAGACTTACAGTTCTTTCTCGTTCTATATATCTTTCTCCAATTGTTTTTACTACTGCGATTGCATTCCCGGCTCCCAAACCCTTTCGGAATCCAACCTGATCTTTCCCCCACTGCCTCCTCCATTATCCTCCGTAACTCCTATCCAACATCCGCAACAAAATTTGAGCAGCATTAGCCGATGGTTCTGTGTTCCTCAAATTTGTTTGTTCCGTTCGGTATCATAACGGTTCTACGAAAGTCTTCGGGCCACACTCCACTCTCGTAAATCTCATTACACAACTCCCCCAGTATCCTCATTTCTTCTTCCTCTGAAACCTCTTTATTAAGTTTAGGTACCTGTAGCCCATCTATCTCAGCACCCTCAGAATTCTTCGTATCTCTGATACCACCTTTATTTCTGACATCAAAATACTCCCACCCTTATCTTCTTCTGATTCTTTCTTTATATTTATTCCTTCAAGGTTCTCATTAGCAGTCTTTGCTCCCTCGCCCATTTAGTTTCTCCTCTTAATTCATTATTCAGTCGTCGGTATTTCTTTCTTCCCTTTGTCGTTTATACTTCCTCTTTTCTTCAATCTTTCTACTCATTTGTTTCGTAGCTCTTTTTCCTCATCCATAGCCCACCTCCTTCTCAGCCACTTTAGTTTATCATAATCTTCGTGCTCTTTTATTTGTCTTCTGCAGATTGCAACTTCCCGTTTCATTTCAATTCCCATTGCCTTCCTATATTTATTCTTTATCTATCTCTCTTAATTACATATCCCATTCCTTTTCAATTTTATATCCAACTCGGCCAACAAAAGAACATGGTCACTATTAATATCTGCACCTGGCATCTTTAAACAATTTCTGTATTTCTCTTCAATCATGATGAAATCAATCTGCTTTCGACGTCTGTAGAATTTCCAGGTGTAAAGTTTCCTTTTATGATGTTCGAACCAGTGTTGGCAATGGCTATCTTTCTTTCCTTGCAGAATTCTGTTAGACGTACACTCCTTTCAGTCTTTGCTCCCAATCCATAATCTCCAACGACGCTGTCCACTCTGCAATACTAGGGTTCCAGCTCCGCATCACTATTTTGCAACACCGTCTCCCTACTTTCTCCGTCCTATTTTCTCATACAATTCATGCTTTGGTCATTGAAATAATGCTCTTGGTCTTTTTCTCAACGATCTTGGCGCATAAATAACGATTTTGACATGTTTTGATCAAAATCCATGTGGTTGCCAGAAATGCATCAAATTTATGTCTTGGGCATATACTTGAAAAACTGTCATTTACTATACCAATGTATTCTACCAGGCATTTAGACACCTTCACTTATCCTACTCCAAAATCCAATCTTCTTCGTAGAACTCCATCTTTAATAATGGCATGTAATTATAATATGAATTGTCAGAACTGTGACATTAATTATAATTCATTATCGAATGTTTTAAGTTCTATTTTTAATTAACATAATTTTGTAATTATTATTTTGCCTTCGTTCATAGAATTGCTTTCTACTTTGCAACATTAATTATATTCCATTTATCTTTTTTTTTATTTTACTTTTTTATAATAATTTAATAATAATGTATGTATACGCTTCTATATTTACTTTTATGATTGTTCATTTATGGATTACCTACTAAGAATCTGTTGAACAATAAATATTACTGATTACTGATTTTATTCCTATGCATAATCACGATCCTGTGTATTACTTTCGTAAAATTAAAGCCGGTTTGCGCAGATTTGCTATAGCTGGGGACATTTTTGTTTTGCATTAATTACGGAGTCAACTGTACCAATGAAACGACCTGTTTCCATATTTCTAAAGGGAGTAGCAATTTTACCAACGTCAAATTTTTCATTTGTATAAAGTAATGGTCGATTATTTTTAGGAATTTACAGAATATATTTTATTTGAAAAAATTTTGATATTCTTAAAGGAATCGACCCGAGAAAATTATTAGCACGAGACAGATTTTGTATTTATTCATAACAATCGAATCCAAACAAAGGATTTGGGTTAATTTCAGGTATATTATTCCTTCGATTTTTATTACGTATAGAAAAATAACAGTTTAGATAAGTATCAAATTTTAGACCTATACCGCAGAGAAGAGTTATATAATTGTTACACATCTAAGAATCATAGGGAATAATCTAGCTAAAGTCCGAACTCGATACATGACCTAGGACTAGGGAATGAAATATGTTGATTTCTATTATATTGAGCCCGCAGTTTTTCCTGTTTCCGATTCATTCGAAGTCCTATAACTTTTGTTCCTGTTGAACCAGCTTCCTGAAAATCAATAGCGAAGTGGATGCAATTATTCAAGAAAATCAACAGTTGAACTAGATGAAGAAGGGAACTTCAATTTTACCTGAACAAAAGGCAAAGTTAATGCACGTTTTATAATTTCACAATTTTAAAGCTGATGACTACAGTTTTGGTTGCCAACTTTTTTCCCTGTAACCCATGTAATTACCCCAAAAGCAATAGGAATTGGATTATGATTTGGAAATACAACCTAATCGACACTGAACGAATCAAATTAACAAGCAATTCAAAAAAGGTACAAACTTCACCACCTTCAAACGTAATTTATTTCTAGAAACTGTTTAAAACCTCGTTAAACTACAAAATTAAGACTTAATGTAAAAGTGAGCCACTTGGCCAATCAAACAACTGGTTAATTAAACGAACAAAGGCGACTACACCGAATGCGTGATAATTAACAACTGAAAACGTCAATAGCATTTAATTGCACACGTGCGTCATGGTTTTGATTCAATATCGAAATGAAAAAAAGAGTCGCCAAGGTTAATTTCGAAAAAACCCTCAGTCTGATACTAATTAGCATGAAATGGGATGTTCAAGAATCCAATTTCCGAAGCATTTAAAATTACATCAGCATTCAAAACAAGTTCATGTAATTGATCAAGAAACGACGCGACGAAGTGACGTTTGAGATGATCAGGTACCTGATGCCATTTTGCGTCAATCTTAAATTGACGACAAAAACCGTTAGGTATCACGCAAGTGGATTTGTAGGTCTGCGTTGTTTATCATACTATTACGCATAAAATACATATTGATTGTACTATTTTTGGAAGTCGATAACAGCGACAGGTACCTACACAATACATTTATCACAGATACATATAGTAATTTATACGTAAATGAATTGAGACAGAGTTAAGGAGGGATTGTTTGGGTCGACCTTCAATTAAAATTTTTGAATTACAGATTCCATTGTAAAAATGGTACGTGGTTGCTCTGTTGGTAACCAGCAGTCAATTAAATAAGGTTACGCTTTTCCCTCGTTAAAATGTAAATTCTTAACTCCAACACGTTAACTTTTCGAAAAACCTTTTGGATGGAAAGATGACAATCGTTAAAACTTCTTGAATGCCCCCTGGTACTTTACCATTTGTATCAGCACACGCGGCCATTTGCGAGCAAATGCTTCCTTGTACTTCATTGGTCGCACTAATGATCGGACTGATGGACACCGCTAGTGCTGCTTGGTGCCTTTTTCTTGGAGAAATGGAGATCGTCAATGGTTTTAGAACAAAATGTAAAAATAATTCATTAATAGTCGCATATTCGGGACTCTAACCGGAACTCTAAAATTCCGCCGGAAAATGTTTTGAAACAATTTTCTTCGGGAAACGGCTATCCAATTCTTTATGCAGAATTTCAATGCGAAATGCCAGATATCCCACCTTACTCATGTGAAGTTGTAGCTTGGAAGTGGGCAATACGACAGCAATAAACTTAATTACATGCTGAGTAACACTGACGACATTTAGATGACCAGGTCCATTTTCCGTCGAAAACCTGAATCAGTTTTAATTTCGCGCGTCTGACTTCCGCTATTGTTCGTGTTACGCAATATTTTTAACTTTATTTAATCACATATGAATTTAGTTCACATTTTTAGCGCATTTTCCAACGAAGTTAGGTGCGCTATTACAGCCACTTTCTCTGTCCGTCCGTCTGTCCGAGGTCTTAACTACTACAGTTTTCAAGATATTTAGTTCGTTCTTTTTGCATTCGGTAGTGTATAGCTCTGGCACCT